GCAAGTGAAGCATGAGGCAGCGGTGTGCCCTGGTGGCCAAGAAGGCCAATGGTCTCCTGGGGTGCATTAGGCAGAGTGTTGCCAGCAGGTGGAGGGAGGTGATCCTGCCCCTCTCCTCAGCCCTGGGGAGGCCTCTCCTGGAGTACTGCGTCCAGTTCTGGGCTCACCAGTGTATGAGAGACATGGCGCTACTGGAGCGAGTCCAGAGAAGGCCTACAAAGATGATGAGGGGACTGGAGCATCTCTTATATGAGGAAAGGCTGCGAGAGCTGGGCCCGTTCAACCTGGAGAAGAGAAGACTGAGGGGGGGATCTGATCAATGCATATAAATATCTGAAGGGAAGGTGTCAAGAGGATGGGGCCAGACTCTTTTGAGCGGTGCCCAGCGATAGGATGAGAGGCGATGGGCACAAACTGAAACACAGGAAGTTCTGTCTGAACATGAGGAAAAGCTTTTTTATTGTGAGGGTGCCTGAGCACTGGCACAAGTTGCCCAGAGAGGTTGTGGAGTCTCCTTGCCTGGAGATATTCAAAAGCTGTCTGGACACAATCCTGTGCAACGTGCTGTAGGTGACCCTGCATGAGCAGGGCGGTTGGACTAGATGATCTCTGGAGGTCCCTTCCAACCTCAATCATTCTGTTATTTGTTTAACAGTTTTCTTCAAGCTTTTGCTTTTGGTTTTCCTTTATTAATTTTACTATATGAGTCTGGCTTACACTCATTGCCTTGATGAGGAAATGTATCTCTGATGTGACTAGGATTACTACTTGTGTGTTGGATTACATGGCTGGAAGGGCACCTTTTGGAGCAGTATTTCTGCATATGCTGCACATCATGCTACACGGATGACTGGCTTGCATCACTGCTGAATGAAGTTGATCTTCAAATGAAGATAACAGCATACTGGATTGTGGCATCAGTTTGTCTTGAGTGGCTAACACCTACTCAGTTAAAGTGTGGAGAACTTGGATTATTTCATTCTGTACTTTTTTTTTGGGGGGGTAAGCCACATTCAACTTCTGTATGATTAGTTCAGCTGCTGAAATAAAGTTATCCCTTGTATATCTAGGGAAGTGCCTGCATGTGCTTGAAGCACGTATGCCTGCCATCAGGGATTAGCCTGGTGTTCATGCGGTATTAGTTCACTTTGTAGAAGGTGCATAGAAGTGATATGTGTGATCACTTGAGGAGTACATGTGCTTTAGAAGGTACCGTAAGTAGACTGTGTGAACTGTGAAATCAGCAAGACCTTCTCTTGACTGCCAGCACAAAGGTTAATTAAGGGTAGATTAGTTCTTAAAGCTGAATGTGAAAAGATTAAAGATGAAAGCATCTAGTTAGCTTCTTGCTCACTGTTTGGAATGAGGTGATAGTTGACCTTTCAAAATGCCATTCTCAAAACTAGGTTTTCTAATCTGCCTTTTAAAAAATGCCTTACATTAGAAATCTGAAAATATTTTAAAAACTTTATTATTTTCTCATAGGTGTGCTTGAGTACTTTTGATGCCCTCTAGACTCTGGAAATACTATTTCAGAATTTTGCACATGATACAGTTATGCAGACAGCGGGAAATTTTTCATTAAAAAAATAATGGAAACATTTCTATTGAATGAGTTTTGTAACGGCTTGTTAATAAAGACCTCATAGGTTTTATATACAGCTGCAATAATTTTCATGGGATTTTAAACATTGGTGATGGCACTGAGCACTCCTCAGTTGGCTAGAAGAAGTCCTGGTCTCACTCTTGCCACTTAGCTATTTTTGCAGTATCCTTCTAGTGTTGGGTAGGTGCTGATATAACCCTCGAAGTATCCGTATGAGTTGGAGGAAGTGGAAGACGTACAGTTGAGGTTTTTCATGTTATTTGGTTGTTTTGGTTTTGTTTTGTGTTTTTTTTCACTACTGCAGTTTTGTTGTATTAGAAGCAAAGGTAAGACTGATCAGAAAGTGGGGCTAGTGCAGGAGAGTTCGACAGGAGAGGTCTTGCTTAATTTCGGTTCTTGGTGCTGTGCAGTTACTCAGATATCTTGGTGGTAATAGTGGACCTAAACACAAAGGGGAAGAAGCATTGGATTTTTCTGACTAGTATATCTGATTTTGACACACAAGGGTCTGTTTTTCCTTTAATCTCTGTCTTCCCCTTAGTATCTCTGAGTCTGTTTTACCTATTGCCATTATCTGAGTTCCTGTCCAAAAAAAAATCAGTGTATTATGCTCATAGAGCCCAGGCTACTTAGACTTATTCCTTTTGTTCAGAAGCAGGTGGGACTTGGCATCACTTTGTTTCCTTTTTTTCCTGAAACCCTCCCTTCTGTCTTCTTGAGGGAAGTATGCTTGTGATGGAAGGTGGGTCCAGAAGGTAGCAAAATTCATTTTTGTCTTCCTCATCCCTTCAGGTTTTGTCCGGGAGTTTTCCACTGGCATACATAAAAACACTGCAGGTGAGTAGGATCTCTGCGAAGGATATTTAGAATCTGATCTTTAGCTGTGCTCCCACTGATATTAAAAGGAGCAGAGTTGGGCCAACACAGAGCACTTATGAAAACTTCTTGTAATATGGTGGTGGTGTGGTTTTTTTTTTTATTATTTTTTTATTTTTTTTGCCAAAAATGCTGAGAGTCCAGAGTAAGGTTGTTATTGGTGGAGATGTCTCCAAGCAGTGCCGGAGGTACCGAAGGAGGTGTAATGGAGAAGGATATTAGTTCTATCCTTTATGTACAAATATTGTTCTACCTCTGTTTTCTTACCTGTCTCTGACATTTGGAGGGGAAGGAAGGGCTCTATCATCATTGCTACTGATGTTAAGTATATGGGGTACTTGTATTTGACCATGTAAGTTTTGTCCACTTTTGCAAGCATACATCTATAAAGAGGCTTTGAAAAATGTGCCAGACTTGGAGGGACCCACTGTTACCCTCATGTTTGGTGTCCTAGTGCAGCTGTGGGAATGGAATGCGAGGCTGGCGCTTCATTTCTTTGCACTCCCTACCTATTCAGGGGTTTGGCCTCAGCTAACAAGTGAGTAGAAAACGTGTCACTGCTTTTCTTTCAGTGCTCCTCAGACATAGTAGAGGAAGCAGCTTCCTGACTGTCAGAGAAAGGAAGACAAGGAACCACCTTTTTGATTAACAGCCACGTGTGCTGCCAAAGGCAGTAAGGGATGCAGCTTGATAGGCTCTACAAACAGGAGCATCAGAGCAATAATAGGTCAGTCATCAGCTTGACTTGCCAAGCAACACTGCATATTTTTGTGCTGCTTGTATAAAATTTGTAAAGACAACGGCAGGCAAGTAACATCTGCTGTTGTATGTTTTGAGTGATCAGTGAGTTACAGCAAGCCACAGCTGCAGAAGCGTTTAGAGTTCAGGCTGCAAGAGTGATATGATGAAAGCCTGAAAGCATGGATGAAAATTAATTTTGTCATTATGTATCAGTGAAGTAGAGGGAAAAATCTCTTCCTTGCAATTGGAAAGGTAAGGAAAATGTTAGGTGAAGTTAAGAAAAGGAAATGTTGAAACTTTCCTTTACTGTTGTGTAAATCAACTAGAAAAATCTTACAGGTGATGACATACAAACGTAATGATGCCCTCTCAGAGATATGGCACAAATAAATTGACCTTGGAAAGTTGTTCATGGAAGGGAGAACTGAGAAAGAAAACAAGCAGGATTATTGGACGCTAAAGCAGTAGGTCTAACTGCTACAGAAAATCTTATTGTGGGATCTGATTATTTCTGTGAAAAAATTACTAATAAGGTATATAATAAGATGTATACAACTAGCTTAAAAAATCCCTACCTGTGCTATTGGGAATAAATAGCTTCTCGAACATCTTGTTGCAAGACAGAGAGTGAAGAGAGAGAGAGGGAGTGTTAGGCATTGATATAGGTGTCATCCATTTTGCAGTATATGAGACAATGTTACAGTATATAAGATAAAGAACATATAAAATCTCAAGCTGTAGATTTTAAGGCAGATATAAAGAGCCTGAGTTTAGGCATAAAATGTCTCTCCTGTAAGGCTGTTGTGTATTGATATCTTGTAATGATTGTTTGGATTATTTTTGCATGTGTACCGTGCTCTGAATCACACTGAAAGGTACTCTGTTGATTCCTGTGTTCTCAGAAAAGTTGGACTCTTAGGCGATGGAGCACACCAGTGAAAAGATACTTGGGGAAGCCTGAAATGGTCAGTTTTTGGCACAAGGGTTTTCTTAATGACTCTCCTTATGCTGCTTGAAACGATTGTTGCATTGTGATCTTTCTCATTTTGTTTCCACCCCTTTAAAATCTGATACTACAGAAATTAATGTAACATTAGGTATGATGTTCCAACTGGCTAATGTTATGAAAGTGAGAATTCCCATAGCAGCCTTAACTGTGCCCCAGGAAAAGAATTCGCACCAAGTGACTGTCTTAAGTTACACAATCATGTATCACCGGGCACGGGGATGTAGTATTTGGCAAATATTTACATTACAAAACTGGTCTAAGTTCATGGCAGTGTAGAAATGTCATATGCTAGTTATGCTAAATGATCATATTACACTGGTAAATGGGCATAAGCTTGGTTCCCAGAATGCTGATCTGTGAATCACATCATTGAGGAGTAGAAAAGAATGCACATCCATCAGAGAGAGCAAGAAAACAAATAGCATATTTCTCACATTTTTCTTATATGCACAGCAATATGTAGTGTTCTTCCCTTTCTATTAGTTTCTGAAATCAGTTTTACAGCAGATTGAAAAATTGGTGTCCCCTCTCTAAGGCAGGCCCAGAAATTACCTCACTTTCTTTCTTAGCATGCTGATCAGTGTTAGTTATGGGACTTCAGAAACTCCCTTACTGTAATTCAAGGATTTTCTTTTCAAAGGTGTCCATTTCTACTAAGAAGATAAGACTTTGTCATGCTGAGCAGAATGGGAAGTGTGCTTTTTACTCTGAAAAATACTTGTATTTGCACATATTAAAGGGTTTTAAATAATTGAATTTCTAATATCTGCACATTATATTGATTGATAAAATAAGGTGATTGAATGCCTTGCTAGCTTGTGATGTTAAAATGCACACAGAAGTCGAGTGAAATATTCTTTTTTATCGTTCAAAATTAAATGTCGTGTTTTGCAAAACTTACTGTAGGAAACTGCTCAGTGGAAAAGTCACACTTAGTTGGTTAGTAGAGATGGTCTTCAGTTATAGCTTAAAAACACCACTTCTTGGGTTCTGATTTTTTTTAAACTTAAGTAAAGCAATGTGAGCTGAATGTGTTCTTACTGTTGTGCAGTGGAACCAAAAAGGATGTTTAAGAAGCTTTGTGATGGTATGCTTTTGGCAGACAGCCATTTCAAATGAGATGGACACTTAAACATTTAAAATTCACTATTCAATGCATTCTATTATATGTTCAAGGGTACTGTGTTAGCAGGCATGGTAAGATTGTACTATGTCTTACTCATCCAATAGAGCGTGGGATCTCCTTGGGTGACCTTGGATAAGTCATCCCCTTTCCCCATATTTAAATTGGGGCGGTTGTTTTTCATTTACCTAGCTTGTTGTGGACTATAAGCAGATTTATTTCTCCCAAAGTCTTTGTACCGCACTGAGCTAAGTGGGGTGCAGAGAGGAGGGTGTGGTAAGTACTGTACAAAAACAAACTGCACAGTTTGATCCAAAATGAGATCAGACAAGCAAGGTGAGCAAGAGAGGTATGAGAACAAATTTTGTTAACCTATTTGGTTGTCTTACAGTTACAGAAACAACTTGATGACCTGGGTTATGTAAGAGATCATTATTTATAAAAAGAATGTAATCTACCTTAGTGTTCCACAGTCGAGCTAACATTTTATTTATGTCTGATTTAGATAACTTCTTGACATAGGTCTCTCTCTTTGTCAGATGAAGATATTGCTTGGCCACTTAAATGGTTAAGGTTAGATCAAGGTATTCAGGAACATTATTAAAAGTCCTGATAGGATAGCTTGAAGAAAGGAAAATCCCACTCGGCAACAGCCTTGGGATTGGCCATTTGCTAGGTCAAGGTAATTTCATTTACAAGGATCTCGGTTTTAAACTGGATTCCAAGGCCTCAAGGCAGAATTGTAAATGATGCAGTCCTGCAAGCTCCTGAGAAATATGATATAGCTAAGCTTTAATATGCCATAAACTTAAACCTCAGAGTAGGAAAGCACCCCACTGGTAAAAGATAAATTAGTTATGGAGGAAGGAAAATATTTTATCCCAGAAGTATTGATAGAGTTAATCATCAGCTTTTCTCAGGTTGCTTTAACCTAGAATTCTTGCCTTATCGTTAATTACTTTCAAAAGTTCTCCTTGGTGCCACAGTCATCAAGAAAACATGTTTTCTTATTACTTCTGCTCCATTGGAATATCAGATGTGTGGCATACTCCCACAGGTCAATTTTTATTTTAATTTTTTTAATATGGAGAAGAATTTTCATTTGAGTCTGAAGTGACACATACATGCAAAGGAAAATAAATCTCCTGCTAATGAGTCATTAGGTCAGGCTGTCTCTTATTTGTCTGTCAGGTGAAAGAGAATGCAGAGAGCAGTGTGATTACTGACAGAGCATTGTTCTCTGGTCTTCCTTAGCTTGTTTTTCCTCATTGTCACAAAGCTGCTGCAGAGCTGTGGTGCCTGGATACGTTCCATACAGCAGTTCTCCAGCAGAGCTGTCTCTGAAAGCAATCGGGTACTTCTCTCTATGGTATGATCTCGTCCATGGTATGTGTTTTGTTGCATGCAGCATGTTTTCTGCATCTCATGAAATGGAGAGGCCTCACTTTTTATACTGATGGGTATATTTGTTCATATGCTAGCCTACTGGAGAGCTGTGAACCAAATTTAATCTGTTAAAATAATGTTTTTCAATCTTTCTATTCACAGTCCTTAAACATTTTGTGCTGAAGGGGTAGCTCCCTGTACAGTCAAATCAAACCACTTTGAACTCCAATTTTGAGTTGTGTTTAAAATCCTTACCTGACTGTTCACTGTTGACCCTGCACTGTTCATGCTGCTCATGTTATGGAAATAATTCGACCCTGGGTTTCCTAGGAGCAGAGAGTCTCACATATGTCTAGCAGTGAATTTGATTATTTATTTAAATGACGGTACCGCAAAGCAACAGCTTGAGCTGGATGCCTTGGGAGAGGGACCCTGAACAAAGAAATTCTGCAGCAATTATACTCCTTACAGTCAAATTTCCCTGCCTGCTAGTGACAGTCTCTTCCAATCTTCTTTCCTGAGTTGGTGGTCTCTTTCCTTTTGATTGGTTCATGTCTACGTCCCGGGACAGTTGCTATGTTCTTGCTTCATAGTGTCTTCTCTTATCCGAAGGTTAACCGTTACCTCTGCCCATTGTGTTCTGTATCTTTGAGGGCTGGTTCTAGCTGGTTTTGCAGTCACATCCTCAGCAATGTCTCTCGA